CTAATTGGACTTGCGGTTTTTAACAAGAAGTCAAAAATATCATTTTTTACCAAAAATGACTAAAATATTCACCAAAATTAGAGAATTGAAGATATCATTACAAAATGAACAAATGTGAGAGAGGTCCACATATAGTACCTATATATTTAATATCAAAGCAATTGAACTTGCGGTTTTTAACAAGAAGTTGAAAATATCACTTTTTACCAAAAATGACAAAAATATTCACCAAAATTAGAGAATTAAAGATATCATCACGAAATGAACAAACCTGAGAGAGGTCCACATGTAGTACCAATATGTATAGTATCAAAGCAATTGGACTTGCGGTTTTTAACAAGAAGTCAAAAATATCACTTTTTACCAAAAATGACAAAAATATTCACCAAAATTAGAGAATTGAAGATATCATCATGAAATGAACAAATCTGAGAGGTCTACCCAATGTACATATACACGAAGTATCAAAGCATTCAGGCTTGTAGTTTTCAAGAAGAAGTCGAAAAAGTAAAACATTGACACAGACGACGACGGACGACGACAACGGATGACGACGACGACGGACGACGACAACGGATGACTACGACGACGGACAATCACTCGTATGATAAGCTCCGCTCGACAAAGTCGACAGCGGAGCTAAAAAAACTTGAAATTCTGACTGTATATGGTAAAAAAATTGGGCCAGTATGAAATAGTTATTACTGAAATTAGATAAGGATGGTGGCACAAATGAGCTCATCAACACTGTGAATCAGGACTAGTTTGGATTTCCATTATCAAATATAAAATTTTGAACTTGGGAATTTAGCATATGATGAGAGTTATATTTGGAAATCCTACTCTGTATGGTGGCACAAAGGAACTCATCAACACCATCACTAGGAACTATAGTTTTGGATTTCTATTACTGTATGGTGAATGGTGATTTGGAAATAAAACTTGTATGACTTGTACACCCACTTGTACACCCTGTATGAAATAAACACACAAGCTCATCAACAGGGGGGGGGTGCAGATATAAACTGGAATGGCCCATTTCAAAAACGAGTTACAGATAACACAACAATGTTTCCATCTACTGCAGCGCTATATTCAGGACTATCAATTTTCTGTTGGAAGTTTGCATATCGAAAGCTCCATTATATTTGATGGAGGTGTTCCAAGTTGAATTTAGGGTAGTTTGCTACCATTAAATTAAAACATGAACAAAATTTAACACAGTAAATCATTAAAAAATTGTTGTGTGATGATTCACTTGCATGCACATCATTCATTTTTAACGTTTTTACAAAGAATAAAGAATGCGATTCCACGAAAACATGCAAAACAATCTACATACAAAGCAGCCATTTTGAACATTTTCTGTAGGGTTCTATGTAAACACTTTATTCTATAGATAACTTACATTAATATTCAAAATTTTCTCATTTTTCGTGACAGTCATATGTAGCCCTCATAAAAATGCATAACATTTTTGAAATATGATTGAATGCTTCTGCCATAGGAATCAAACTATTCATAAAATGCATCATTTTGTGGGACACTTAGTTTGGTGATCATAAATTTTTATTTCAGAATTTTGGACATTACAGTAATCCAACTTCTCTTGCTGGATTATCTTATGCAATATTTCATCTGAAATATGGTTGAAAGGTGGTTCACAGAGACAAATTTATTGGGAGATAGTGATTTTTATTTAGGCACTCGCTGCAAGAAGCTTGGCAAACTTGCTCAATTTCTCACCATCCAAAAGTTCAACTGAGCTTCAACGGTTAAATTGTAAAATTTACTTATCTGCACACATTTCATTTTTTCCAAATATATCCTTGTAGGCTTTCACCATAACCAAAACTTTAAAAAAAATACCAACAAACATCAACTAACAAGTATCAACAGTCAATCTCGCGAATTGTTTGAAAGATACTGGTCAAAAATAGAATGATTTAATTTTGAACTTCTTGTTTATAGCTCAATGTTGAAATGCCAATCTTACAGAAGGGAATATGGCATTGAGATACCTTTACCACATCAAAATTGAACATTATCTAATGTATATAGCATATTATCAATTGTGAAAATACTCCCAAAATACTTTCAGGCTTGTCAAATCTGTTTTGATCATTATTCGTCTTGTTTTAGGCTTGATTTCACATACTGGTAATACAAAGTTTTGCAGTGAACTAGAAATGGTCTATTACCATCAAGATATTTAACAAAAACTATAAAGTTGGAATTTGAATAATTCATGAGCGACAACTAAGTTAACCTTTAAAGCGAAATGTTCTGTTCATTTTCTCTGTTCGGACGAAGTCCGAAAACGGGGACTATTAATTTGGGTCGTTCCATATGTACGTACGTCTGAAGCTATATCTCGGACACCCATTGACGGATTTCATTCAAACTTTACATGAAGACAATACATAATGTCTTACTTTATGATTTGAACAAATATGGCCTACTGGCGACCATCTTGTTTTTCATGGTACCCATGCTACTTTGTCTTGAATGCAATGAACATTTCTGTTTAAATTTTGTGCAAAGATAGTATACCAAGAGATACATCTACACCAACATGATTTTTGTGATTCGATTCAATATGGCTGGCCGATTTTTGTGTAAAAGCACTATAAATTGTCATTTTTATATGTCCGGAGCTGTTTCTCAGAGATGACTAGGCCAATTTGGATCAAAGTTGATATGATGATCATACATATTGGGTTATAGTTGCATGTCATATTTTTTCTGTGGATCAAACTTATATGGCTAACTGGTGATCATTTTGTTTTTCATGATACCCATCCCTACTTTCCCATGAATGCAATGAACATTTCCGTTTAAATTTTGTACAGAGACAGTATACCAATAATCGATACATCAACATGAACATTATTTTTGTAATTTGATTCAATAAGACTGCCCAATGTCCAATTCTCGTGTAAAAGCACTAAATCATATTTTTTTACAAATCCATCTCCTATTAATGGTTTCAATCTAATCTCAATGACTTCATCAGCATCAAATTGATATGTCAGATCACAAAATTTTGGACGGGGACTGTGTCATTAACAATGACTTGTTTAGATTAATTCACAGCTCTTAAGTCACTTAATTCACAGTTTAAGTCACTTAAAGGAAACTTGTGGTTAGGTTTGGTTGGCCACATTCCAACTTGAGTAGGATTTCACCGGAACAACTTGAATTTGAACTCTCACAAATCAATTGATAACATAAACTGCATTTATTTGCGAACAAAATTCTTCAACGAACTGATAAATACATAAACTTGTAGAACTGACCCACAGTTGAGCACGAACTAAAAACTGGAACAGAACTACTGTTTAGCTTTTAAAAGGGAAATAGAACATTACTGCGTTTTCCATGCAGACAGAGATTAACCAATCAGTGACTGCGTACCGAAGCAATAATGGAATGTCAGTCAACACCTATAGCTTATTATGGTTTCAACGATAAAACTATGCAATATTTCCCTCCTCAAAAGATGCTAATCTACAAGCAACGGAGAGGATTCACCACAAGTTCGCAGTACATACACAAGTTGTTTGTTTAAATTAGATTAGAATAAAATTATTTACATGTTTGCATACTGTAGAATACTTTATTTTTGCTTGGAATTTATTTTCGCTATTTTCGCTGAAGGGATGATTCCGTGAAATAAAATCCAGTGAATATACAATTTTTCCTATATTTTACATTAATCTTATCCAAAATCAGTGAAAATAAATTCCAAGCAAAACGCCCAAAAAGCCTTTTCAGCGAAAATAAAGTATTCCACAGTATATATTAAGTTTAATGAAGGTTTGTATTTTACTGTAGGAACAGACCTGGACATATAATGGTTCTACCTCAGTGCCAACAAACAATTCTACCTGTATGAATGGGAAAAGAAACCTATTACAATGTATTGTTGCTATGACAGCGGTAGACGAAGGTGGAATTGTAACTGTGGGTGACTCAAGTTATGATACTGCAGTGAATTCAGCTCTTTATGGAATTCAACTTGAGACAGATAGTTGTGTATTGGTATATAGTAAAGAGTATGGATTTGATATACATAAGAACAAGGATGGATTCTGATCCAGGAAATTTGTAATTCAGCCTGTATTTTAAAGCATATGTGAACCTTTGTAGATAAGGAAAATAATTTCTTTTTTTTGTTTTGGCAGTAATTCATGATAATGTTTACATGGGCAATGATTTTTGAATTGAGTGTGTTTTTTGTAACTCACTGGTATTTACTTTTTTTCTAGAGATGTCCTGTGAACAACTTGTGTGGAAATCAAATTATTGTGTATGTATAATGATAAGTTGTTCATAACAAACCTGCAATTCAAAAGCTATTTTTATGAAAACATATTTATTGTTGAGATTTTAAACTATTAATAAATTAAACTAATATAAAAAAGCATGTTGTCAGTTACCAAAATTAATTTAAAAAATATATGTTTAAAGTTCTAAATTATGAATTTATTATTATTTATCAAAGATGTACTTGGATGTATTTTTTCACATCAATTTTAATGTTTATCAAAACTTATGAATTTTAAAATATTTTTATTGTGCTGATTGTGTGTATGTATGTGCCCTGACTGCTGCTTACAAATAATAACCTATTGCAGAATATACACATTGGTACATGGCAATTTATGGCTGTGGGAAATCTGCCATACAAACATGCATATTAAATAAATCAATATTAGAAATCAATTTCAGGATTCTTGTTTCATGATTGTGAGTTCATATATTTATGCTATATATGATTAAAGGCCCAGGTATACTATAAATACGCTCCTAAACAATAGGGATTATTTCCTTGCTTGTCACGCTGTAGTAAACAGCTCCAGCCATGCTTTGGTTAAGATGCATTTTCTCAAACTTACAGATCGATTATGTCGAGCCAAAGTTGATGTATGTGATGGCTATGAATATCACAGCACTGATTGTATGTAGTATTTATGACAATAAATCGTGTACGAGCTGAGATTTTGGCGGATAAAAGTCAAATCCACGAACCGAGGATGTGTCATAGGCTATGTGATTAACAACACTCATTAGCATAGCCCCATCTCCAATTCACACTTGCCCAGGGAAAGTGAATTGGGCCTTTAAATGTGTGCTACAACCATTATACATTAGGCTAATCCAAAATACATCAAGCTAAATTGTTGTCACTTAATGTGATCAACATGTACCAACCATGAAATTGTGCACTTGGTGTCTTGGATAAGGGTTTGACCATTAGAAACATGAGGTAGAAAGAAAAAGGACAATGACAAAAAAAATCCCAAGCCAACTTGATATTTGTACAGCATTTGCGACCAAATTTATCATTATGTTTTGTTTGAAAAATGCACCATAATTATTGATTTTCTTAAATCACAACTTTTCATTTTTTTACCCAGTACAAAATATGGTTGGGTAAATTTTGGTTGGGGATGTAACCTACAAATTCGGTAAGAAGGAATTCTAAAGTCATCTGCTGATTCGCACAGTTTCATTAAGGACAACTTTCCCCCATGGGAATCACTTGTATTATTTTTTTTACAGGTATGCGAGGCACCAACTTTTGGAGAAAAAACAAAGCCCGGGAAGCCAAAGAAATTCCACAAACAATTGTATGAATTTTAAAATTTTTTAAGTATTTTTTTTTATGGACACTGTAGTTTGAAATATGTACAAAAATGTATTTTTTTTGGTCAAAAGTGATTTAAACAAAATTAGCTTCTAAACCATGCCTCTTTTTCCTGTCAAAATTGGTTTACGGATACATCTGTTTATTATGAAGAAAGTGCCGTCTTGAAAAATGTCACAGTAATTCAAGTTTATGCATAAATTAACACTTGTGTGATTGTTGTAACACTGTTCAACAAAAAACGATGCCCCCGAAGTTTTGAAGATAATCACATTGTCAATCATTTTTTTTTAAAGTTCTGGGATGTGCACTATAAAGAAACTGAGATAATTGCTAATTTGCATATTTTATTAGTTAAGTAAAAATATGCTGATTTACATCGCCATTGGATTTAACAGGAGTTCCACTAATGATTTTAATTTCAAATTTTCACAGAATACAGATGTTCATACAATGCCATAAAAACAAATATGAAAATTTGCAAAATAAACTGCATATCTACCTTAAATGAGTTATTTTCCCTGAAAATTCCCTATATATGGATCAACTTTTTCAGAAAAAATTTGAAAATAAAACAAACTTATTTGCAAATAGATCTAAAATTGTCACGTGATTCGGGGCTGTAGTCTTCCTTGAAACTAATTAATTAAAAAGGTTAGACTACTAGACACTAGAGCATACATGATCATTGCATCCCACAATCTCAACAAAACCTCTACTAATAACAATATGGGTGAATGCCAAACAACACAAAAACCATACGTTTGTTGCCATAGTAACATAATTCTGAGTTTGTAGTATAAACATTATTTGTGGCATTAAGTACAGTGATCAGTTACTGGATACCATTGAACCATCTTAGATCTACAATCTAGGATTGCATGAACAATGAATGGACTGGATTTGAATGTCCACTGTAAAGACTCCTTGATAATGAAATAGTGTCCCTTGGTGTTTATAGCACTTAATATCATATTGTTTCTAGGATGATATTGAAACATAGATGTAGAAATGTTTCAAAATGATAAAGTGTATGATGTCAGATATTTTCCTGTACTTATGATGACGTAATATATTTATATTACGATGACGTAATAATATTAATTGTGACATTTCTTCAAGAAAAAACATATTTATGCAAATGAATATTGATTAAAATCGAATATACCTCTCCTTGAAAACGTTACAGTAATCTACCACAAGATACGAAAGTAACTCGCAAAGTATTGTGGGTAAATGCAGTTCGCTGCCATATTGAAATTGCCTGTTACCAAACTTGAAGTGTATTCGTACGGTTTACGAAGTAATTGTGTGGTTATCGTTATTTAAAATGTTCAAAAGAAAGCTCCAGGCGCTAGGATTTCATGATCCCGATACATTCGACATTACTGGTAAGGGGGTAGGTGTGGAATAACTGTATGTTCCGGGCTCAACGTCACCTTTTGTGCAGCATGGAACGACATAATGTGCCTGGATGCGCTCGGTAACTTTCTGGTATAATAAACTGAAGGGTGGTGTGTGGTGGGGGTAGGTGGTTCTTTCTTTCTTAATTAGTCGTCGGTATACCGGTGCCTCAACTATATCGGCGACTGCCTAAGTATACCCATTTTTCACTTTTAGTTCCTGTTTATATTATCCCCGTCGTAGTCCCAGAAACGTGTCGAGCGCCTGTGCACTGGGTTACAGAACAGTGCCGTGACCGGTACCCGGAAGACAGTATAGTCGTCTTCATATACATGTACGAAAAGCCAAAAAATGCTCTGTGGTTGCAGCTCAATAACTGAAAGAAACTGGTACCTGTAGTCCTACGTACAGCACTTTGCGGGCCAGTCTGTCAGCTGACTGATAACTAAGGGTTTCCTATTTAAAATGTGTCTAGGGGGTGTGTCTGTTTTACAAATATTTCATCATGATTCACATATTCTTGACGATAATCTTTTTCTCCAAATTCTTTGTCATTATATTTGTTTTCTCTTTTCTATTTATTCACTCATGATACCCCCCCCCCACATCTTCAAATCAACCCAGCCCTAAACTCAGTGTTGTCAGAGTGGGTAGTATTTTTATTTGGTTGTTAACTTTGGATACTGCTATATAATAATATAATAATAATATAATAATTTTATTAGCCTTTGAAACGGCGTAAAAAGTAACATACAAGTCGACAATAACAAGAAAAGAAAAGAAAAAGAAAAAACAATCTATAAGAAGCATTAATTCATACATGTAAATCATTTAGTTTCTCGTTTCTGAATTTCCATAGGTGGGTGAGAAGTTTCGGATTTCGTTTGATGTATTATTTCCTCTCGAGAAAAATCTATGTACAATAGTTGGTTCTCCACCACTTTCCACTACTACCGGTAATTGTATTGGTCAGTGCTGAATAGAATTTACTTCTCAAGTGGTTAGTTGATTTGCAAAGAAATAAAAAGTGATAAACATCCTTCTTTCCATCATTACAAAGCTTACATACCCTGTCACCTTTATAATTTTCCCATCCTGTTTTATTACCTTCCAAGTCTATTGGGTTTGACCTCACCTTAAAGAGGAGTGAGATGCCATGATGATCAAGGGGATCCTTTATATAATTTTCAAAGTTTTTATTGTTGTGTTTAATCCAACCATAGTGCTTTAGAGATTTCATGTCTTGAATAGTTTCAACAAAACGCTTTATTTCATTTTCTTCACTAATTTTATAGAAACTTTTAATCCAACTAATATTCTGTGGTCTTTTTAGGCCATAAACATGATCCATACCATTTTGAATTAGGATATTGTTGATATATTTTGGCCAGTGTCAAGTAAGTTTAGCCTTGTTCTGATATGATTCATGTAGTTTAGAGAAAACTGTTTTGGTCCACTTGGTATCATTCATCTTTTGTAATCTGTCCAAATACTGTATTCGCGATTTATCGTAAATAAAGTTGATGTCTTGCCATCCTAAATCTCCCAATATTGCTGGGCATGCTACATTCCTATGAACTTTAAAGAGAAACTTGCCAAATTGATACTGGATGCTTTTAAGTTTGTTTTTATTCACTGTACTTTCTGACAGCCATACACTAGATCCATAGTTAATTGATGGCATGATTATATTTTGCCACAGGACATCACCATATTCAAATCTATTGTAACTGTTATATTGGTTTATGATTGATTTACTATATGCTAATATTTTCGTTGCTTTTTTATAAGTTTCCATAAAATGTGAATGATCCTTCAATGATTTTGAAATAATGATGCCTAAGTATTTGTATGTTTTAGTTTCTTTAAGTGTAAAATTTCCTAATTTCCAAATTGTTTCTTTTTTATGTAACTTCTTTCCAAAATACATTATCTGGGATTTGGATTGATAAAAGCTCAATTTCCATTGCCCTGCAAATTTTGATGCATTATCTAACATATTTTGCAGTTGAACTGCGTTATTTGCTATGAGGACTGTCATCTGCCCAGAATAAACCAGGTATTAATTGTGTTTCAATCATTACCCCAGTTTAGATTTGTATAACATTTTGGCGAATTCATTAATGTAAATTGAGAATAGTAAAGGACTGAGCACACATCCTTGTTTAACCCCTTCATTAGTTTTGAAATAATCTGTTTCAATATCATTAAAATTAATTTTGTTTAGAACATTGTTATACATGTCATCAATTATATCCCATAGCTTCCCTCTGATTCCTGCATTCCATAAACAAACTCGCAACCCATCTCTCCAGACTCTATCGAAAGCCTTAGAAAAATCAAGGAAGGCAACATAAGTTAATTTATTATTTGTTTTCCGCATGGAAGCAATGCCTTTAAGTATGAACACATTTTCCTCACATCGTCTATCTTTCCTAAAACCACCCTGAATTTTGCCTAGTAAATCAGTTCCTTCAACAAATTTCTTTAGTTTTGTTTCTACTATTTTAGCATATACTTTTGACACAGATGAGTTTAAGGTTATACCTCTATAGTTATTTAAGTCTTTCATGTCTCCTTTTTTATGAATTGGTTTTACAACTCCTTTTTTCCATTCATCTGGTATTTTACTATGCCTCAGACATGATTGAAATAGAACTGTTAAAGATTGTACTATTGATTCCCCACCATTTTTAATGAATTCATTAATTATGTTGTCAGGGCCACATGCTTTACCCGTTTTACAAGATTTTATTGCATTGCGAACATTATCCTCAGTTATATCAATAGAATTAATTACTGGAAAATTAATGTTGTCTTTGTTTGATTTTACCATTTCTAATTAGGCTCAGTTC